AGTTTTTTATCTGATTGGATATAAAACACTGACTCCAATTAATATTGGGCACGTTCAGAAGGCGCAACAGCTGAGTAACTGTTGCGATTGCACCTTCTAAACGCGTTGTTTTGTACCTCTGATCAACTGAATAGTTGCGTGTTAGATGATCGTAATACTTTTCTGATCATTTGAGACAACATGTTGTGTGTTATTGAATTTGACAGCTAATGTATCAAGCCGTTCAGAAGACGCATTACAATCACTGATTTTTTTTAGCACCGGTTGCGCTCAACTTCTGCGCCTTCTGAACCTACCCATTGATATAACGTCGTCTCAGAAAACGGATGTCGAATGTTACAAAACACGGTTTTGAGAAAATTGACTTTGAAGTTTAAGGTCGAATTAATCCGAAACTGTACGGTAGATTTTTGTAACTTTTGAAGGAGACGTAGTTGGTGTTATTAGTTTTGATTTCCCATATTTTTACATATAATATCTCTTAACGTTAATGAGAAAATTTACTTTTCATTCCGTATACATTTGTCGTAAGTAGCGTTTACTCACCACTTTGTTTTGTCCACAGAACATACGACAATAGTAAAGTATCTATTTCAACGACGATGGTATAATTTGATCAAAAAAACAGACATATTTATTAAATAATGATTACTTATTAGAAAAAACATAACAAAAACATAATCATGTATTTAATAAAAAAAAATCTGTACATCTCTTATGCTGTAAATATGTTACGAACATACGTTTTCTTTATATAAAAACAAAAAACAATACTTAAATTCAGTCTTTTGTACATTTTTATCTCTTTCATTTCATTGGAGACTCAGTGCAAGCTAAAATTTAAAAATTTAAAATTTTAAAATTAGTTACTTAGTTTAATTTTCAATTTTAATTGTATCGTTATAGTAGAGGACCATCCAATTGTCGTAAGTTCAAAGTTTTGTGATACATACGACAAATGTTTTATGATTAAAAAAGGATTACATTTGTATGGGAATTTGTCGTATGTGCCACATACGACAAACGTTTTATGATTAAAAAAAAGGTACGTTTGTATGGGAAATTGTCGTATGTGACGCATTTTCAGCACATACAACAAAAGGCATACCCAATCATTAATATTATGTAACATACGACAAAATGCGCATGAAATATCTCAAAAACTAATGGAGATATAAAAAAATGGATTGCAGAAATCGAAAGAGCATGTCCAACTTAGTAAATCTGCATCAAAATCCCAAAATCGTGATTTTGCACATTCGTCATCCGTTTTCTGAGGCGACGATAACTAAAGGGTGACAGGTAATAAGATCAACGCAAATAAGGTCAATTGACTTTATTTCCCACCCTGGTGATACTCACCATTGAAAACACAAAAATTTGTTTTATATTTATTTTAACACACAAACAACGAATAAGTTAACATTGATAAAAAAAGCAAAAACAATTCCATGTTGCTCTAAACACAAGTCAAACAATTTAATAGTGCACTGCGTACATATTACCGTTGATTTTTTTAAATTTTTTTGGACTAAATATAAAACTGCATACCCAAAACCTTAATTCTTAAAAAAAGTAGGAAATTTTAGTAAAAATTCGCTGAATTTTTATAATTTTGCAAAAAGTTTAAAATGTGAATTTTTACGGTGTTTTTTATAGAATGAACAGTATTTTTTATAAGAAAATAATTTAAATTAAATAATAGGAGTCTTCATCTAAAGTGATAAAGGGATAAATTGCTTAAATTCATCAGTTTATCCGCATTCTTTCATGAACGCACCTTGGTAAATAATTGCATAAAATTGATTATTACTTAACTTATATGGCTAGTTAAGTTTCATTCTTACCTCGTCCATTGTGTTCATTTATTTTTATGTGTTCGTAGCAAAAGCGACCACTTGGGAACCTGCAAGGGTTGAATTTTTCTGAAATTTCTAAATTTATCCACCAAAGTCGTTTGATAAAGTGATATACTTTGGTTAAATAGATTTCCATACAAAGTTTGGCAGTTCATTTATCAAACTGATAAATTTATAATTTTATCAAGTTTATCAACAGTTTGTCTCTTTTTTATTTTATTACAACGCTTTTATCAACTTGCAACGTTGTGTGTCCAAACACCATTCATCATTGCTATAAAACCTTTGCTTGAAAGGATTCTATAAAAGTCTAGACATCTACCTCGCCGCCTGGTATCATATCAAAACTCTGAAGGTAGTGACGCCTCGCCGCAAGTAGTTATATATTGCGCCTAGAAATATGCAATACATACGCTACAGCGGAAATGGACGACACGCCATTCCTTTAAATGAAATTAATTGGTGCTCGTATGTATGTACATACATATATGCATGAATTATTTTAATATCTAGTGCGGAGCTGGGCAATTTTTGCTCGTGACCAACGCCAGCGTCGCAGTTCGTATACGTACACAGAAGCAAACCAGCGAATTTCGATTCAGTCTGCTTGCAGATTTCACCAAGGTAATATCATGGTCGGCTGTGGACTATTTTTCTTCGTAATTTTAGCACGAGCTTGCCACATTTTGTGTAGAAAATTTACAAAATATCCCCAAAGCATAAAGTGGTGTTTTTTTCTCAGATCGGTGTTTACATGCATTTGCGACGACTAAAACACAAAATAGTGCGACCCTATATAAGAACCAGAGTTTGAACAATAAAGAACTTTCAACAAGCCGCAATATCCGTTATGTGGTTATGCCTACGTATTTTTAATATAAGCAAAATGTATTTTTCATGTCGTGTCAATTTAAGAAAAAATATAAAATGAGCTGCTTGCTGACCAACGCTCAATAATTTTGTAATAAGTTCCATGAGTTTTTTAAAAAAGTGCACAAATTCCATGCCATATTTTAGAGTAATTTGTTTCTATCTAAAGAAATCGATATAGAAGTTTAAATGTTGGTTTATACGCAAAAATACTTAATGAATAATATTTATAAGTTATATTCTATTTTTAGCACTAAATTCCTATTTATATAAAAAAAGTAAAATCTAAACACCGAAATCATCGGGCCGGCCAGCATTTCAAAGATTAGATTCCAATAAAATTGTGTCCAGGTATTAAACAAATGAGTTAAACCTATTTAAATTTTTTCCAATTTTACAATTATTAAATTTTTCGTATGGAAAAGTTACTACAAACTAATAGTATTAGTTACTAAAAACTTCCACGATTCATTATTTCACTATACGTATAAGAAAAATAGGGCAAAAGACACATGCACGAAAAATACCAGTTTTAGTACATTTATAAAAACGACAAAATGAGACTGTGTTGGTGTGCCAGCATTGATCTAGTGCAAAATTTTATACAGATAAGACTAAAAAGTAGAGATAAATAAAATAAAAAAACTTTTTAATATACCACGCTTCATAAATGCACTAGAAAGTAGAAAATAATATTTCTTAGTCCCATAGAATATGTTTTGATAACTTTTGATTTTGAAATTTTAGCAAAAGTCAACAATTTATGAGATTGAAAATGAAAAGCGTGGGGCGCATGTAATAGACTTGAATCGATATGAAAAGTAATATATGTATGTATGTACATATGTGGGTACAGTAAAACCCGCTTAAGTACCTCACGAAAAATGTCACCCTTTTGAGGTACTTAGGCGGGTTGGGTACTTAAGCGAACATAATTATTGATGTAGTTACATCTTCTTGTTAACTTACATAAATAAATCCTCGAACAAGACATGAGATCGTAGCATTATTTAAACACATAAACAAAAACTTTATATAAAAAAAAATCGATAGAGCAATGTTATGTAATTTTTACAAGAATTAAACTCTTTAAAGTCATTGATTATACATACTTATACTTACATACAGTGTTGGACATATCTATCATTTCGGAACAAATTCAATATGATGTTGTTTTTCACTTATGTTTATTTATTGATTTTTAAGATTTTTCAATTAAAACACAGTTCATTCCCCAACAAATACCATATAAAGGGCTGTTTACAGCTCTCAAGAAAAAGGAAAAATTCATATAAAATAACGCTCAAGAAATAGAAAAGAAATTTTCTACTATCAAAATTTCTAAAAATCAGTTTTCAGCTCTCAAGAAAAAAATGTTCGAATTTTGATTTTTTCAAGAAACGGTACACCAAAAGCTTAGGATCCAGCTTTCAAGAAAAAATCATAAGAAATATTTTCCATTCAGGGTATTCATATAAACGCGTTAACGCCTCGTAACTGTGTAAATCTCGTAAATAAACCTAGTTTCCGTACAAAATTAAAGAATTTTACGAGGTTTATTAATATTTCTGTTGCTTTAAAAAACATTTTGCCTGTATTGTAAATTTTCTTGAAGGAATAAATATACGAACATTTTTTTCTTGAGCATTTCTTTTCCATTTCCTGTGCGTCATTTTATATGAATTTTTCGTATTTCTTGAGAGCTGGAAACAGGCCTAAAAACAAGGTACTTTTTCAACCAACAGAAATAATGGAAAATATTTCTTGTGATTTTTCTTGAGAGCTGCAAACAGCCCTTAAACCTAAGCTTCCCAGCAAACATTGAGGTTAGTTATCGATTAGAGAATGATTTGAGAACTAGCCAAATTCTCCAATCTCAAACGTTAGAGAATGACTCGAAAAACTATCGAGAATCATAGCGATCTCAACAAAAATGGGACATAGTTCTCGACTCGAGAAAATATTAATTCTCTAATCGAATTCTAATGTTGATCTCTAATGGGATTCGAATGTGAATTTCAAACTGCTGTGTTTTGCTTTATTAAATAAAACGCTTTGTTTGTAAAATGTGTACTAAATTTATTTGCAATAAAATAATGAATTATTTGAACTTAAACATAATATATGATTCATTTATTTGGAATATTGCTTATTTACCTAAATTTTTTTCAAAACTTTAAAACTATCATATGTCTTGTGTTTTTCACGTTTTGTTAAGATGAATTCATTTAGGTTAATTAAATTTGGTAACAATTTGGTAACATTTGAAACATAATTAATTTTAAAATTAATAAAATAGTTAACTTAAAGTTCATTCACATGAGGTCCTTATAAGTGTTACATTTAGTCTCGTTTTGGAAAATTAAGTCGAATTCCTTAAAATTTACACCGGCGGGCCTATAATTAGAAACAATTTGTCTTTAAAAATTTTGACTATTTACTTTTTTTTTATTACTTTTAATTTATTTTTTTGCGAAAGCATAGTTCATGCTACAACGAAATCCACATAACTTACAAGTTTTCAACCTTGTACACGATTTATAAAAATTCGCTTAATTTCAAAAAATGTGGTGAATTTTTATAAGTCTTGTACAAGGTTTAAAACTTTAAGTTATGTGGATTTCGTTGTAGCATGAACTGTATAAATTAAAATAAATTTTCGAAAGTTGTAATGACGAATTGTTTCTAATTATCGGACTTCCTGTGTATGTACAAATACAGTAGCTTAACATAAATTATAATTGTATTTAGTCCCTGTTTTAGCTCAAGTTTAGATAACTTAAAAAGTAGAAGGCACATTTTTTAAATTATAAAGCACTTTAATAAAAATAAATGGATAAAGTATTGTTAATTCATTCAGTCTTAGTTTTATGAAGTTATCTTGTAAGTTTCTAAAGTACTATTTCTATTGCTTTGATATCCAGTGCGTTTTTGAAGACGTCCTTTTGCATGCTGGAAAAAGGTAATGGAGGTTCGTGCGAATTCGTCGTCTGTGGATTGAGGAAATTTCATCGAAAGTGCATCTGGAAGATAGAAATAACAAATAAATAAATTTGCATGCATGTTATTGAAACAGTATACTTTTTAAAGCAGCTGTAATGCTTAAACTTCTTGCTGCCACTTTGGTGTTTGTCCCTTTCCAGCATAAATTTTGTGCTGCGTTATCGGTAACGATTTTACGCCAAGCCATTTTAATAAATTTTTCACTGCTCGTGCAAATTATGTGTGAAAGTTCTTCGGACTAAAAATAAATTTTTGCAATCACTTAATATAATAATTCATTCATATTGATTAAAACAAATAATTACCAGACTTTCGTATTTGGAAGAATGGTCCTGAATTTCCTTTTCAAATTTTTTAAAATCCTCAATGTTGTCAAACGGTGTTTTGGGGATAATCTCATTCCGTGATGTTTTATGGCTGTATTTGCTTTGTTTGGTTTCTTGTAAAATTCGTGTAAGGCTTCGCTTTATTGATTGTTGGTTGTGATCTATTTCTGTACAGTGTATATACATATGTATATATATTAGGGCGGGTAAATTTTTTTTCGACATCGTTCCTATCAGATTCGGATTCTACATGAAATTCTAAGAAAAAAAGCCCTTTAGACCATAGCTCTAAAATCAATTTCGAGCCTGCGCAATTTTAAAACAAAATATCTTTAATTAATACTAAGTCCATAATCAGATTAATATTTACTAAAGTGTTAGGAATGTTTTGGTTTTGTAATAAACAGTTGAGCTCCGGAGTTTTGTGATATGAAAAATTCATTTCTGATATCTATTTTCTATTTAAAGAACTATATATTTGTGGAAGTATGTATGTATATATGTGCCAGGTTGCAGCATAAACGGATGGACAGAATCGAATAAAATTTTGCCAAAATATTTCCATAACTCCTGGATCTATAATACGGTAAACAAATTGGAACTCGCCAAGGAGGGGCGGGAAGGGGATGGGGGATACCTCCCATAGTTAAAATTTTTAGTCAGCTCTAACTTCGAAATTATAGTCACATGAACTCGAAATTTTAAATGCACAGTTACCTATGGTAGGTGCTTATGGAAAGATATATGCATATAAATGAGTTTGTAAAAAGGGGCGTGGCACATCTCATAGGTGTGGAATCTTTTATCAGCTATAACAGGAGGCAGTATTAGTGATCTCATTGTATTACATTTTGAAGATTTGTTATAATTGATCAAGGTGAAATTCAAATAAATTATAGATGATATGAAGTTCACCGGGTCATCTTCTATTCTTTAATATATACTACTTAAGTTAATATACGGATTAATATTTACTAAAGTGTTACGAACGTTATTTTTTTAATACAATAAGAAAAGAGTAACTATAATTTAAAGGAGTGGCACACAATGGCTAGAGTCGTCGCATGTGTGTATTCTTTCATATACATTAGGGCGGGTCGATTTTAAAATCGCTCATTGCTCTGTGAAAATCGTATTCTAGGGATCAAAATAAGAAACTTTGCCGAAGGAACCATACCTCTAAAACGAATTCTGATGTCCCCCAATTTGGGTCGAACTTTTGGGTAGGGGCAAATTTTGAAAAATCCCACTTTGACTCATTTAGAGTGCTCCAATCGAGTCCAAATGTATGACCGACCCCCACTAACTTTAGACGGCCGATCCACCCATGCCAGTGGCACACCCCCTGGAACTCCCCTGGGGGGTTCCCCATACAATCATTTCAAAAAATCACCATTTTTGGCCTTTACATGAAAAAATCAGCTAAATGGCTATGTTTTTTCTTTATTTTTATTTATTTATTTATAATAACATTAATTATTTATATATAATAATATCTATTTTTTCTCTTAAGAAATTTATTTAGTCAGAACATATGTAAATGAAAAAAATTAATTTAAGTGAGTTATAGAAAAGAAACTAAAAAAAATTATTGTTTGAAGTATTTTTTACTTTCAAGTCTGGGCAATTTCGCACGGCTCTCTAATGTCGTCGCCATAAAAGCCTCTACATTTTCCGGTATAACCCGTTTGGAAACGCTAGCTAGCAATTGAACATGTCGTTCCGTTCCTTGTATGTGTGATGGAATTTTTGGATCATTAAACGGTGGATCATCTTGATTTAAATATTCTTTCAATGTATCGTACGGAATGCTTCGCGTGAATGGTGGTTCAAATACGATATTTATATCATTCAAATTGATCATTTCCGTATAACTTGTGCAATTAAAGTTTATATCTGGTTTTTTATAAACTCTAAGTTCCATTGGCTCGTCAACATCGGTTCGATAGCGTAGAATTTTCTTGATGGCACAGTCGCGCTTTTCTTTGCTATCATCAAACAACATTGATAACAAGATATTTTCCGAATGCGCATAATATGAATTATCTTTAATTACTTGATTGACAATTTTGCGTAAACGAGGTTCTAGAAATCGTGACCAACCAATGAACTTGAAAAATAATGCACTGCCGTACACGACAGAGCTGTAATACTTGATATTGAAGTACATTGGCACATAACATTTAATTATAAATTCAACCAGAATTCTTAAATTTGCATCTGGATTTTCCGTTGTCACATATAATCGCAATAATCTAGCGGCCTTGGTGAGCCACCGAGAATGTACAATTTTCCCTGGTTTGATGTTAGCCAGATCCACCGGAACCACGCCGCTAGAAATTGCATGGGCCATGTCGTATAAGTACTTCGACAATTAATTATTAATAATTAAAAATGGTTGACAATTATAATAAATGAGTGATAGCAATAACTTACCGGAAGAGTTTCACAAGTTTCGATTTGACGGCTCAGTTTTCCGGTTGCCGATCTTGGTTCAAAAACAAATGCCGAAACGGAAGTTCGTTGAAGTGTAGAAGGCAAACGAACCAATGCAATGCTCTTTTTAACAGCAATTCGAATCGTCGTATAATTCCACCGTGTGGGCCAGTGTTTGTTGGCTCACCGTCAGTGCATATTCCAATTAATGCATCCAGTGATATATTTTTATCGTTGAAAAAACCATTTAATTTGGTTGTTTTGTATTCAGCGGTTTCATGTTCCAGTCTTACGTAACCAATCAATTCAGAATTGGGTTCTCTCAAAATAACAAGATGAGGTTCTTTTACCATCCTAGTATGATACTTCTCATCAATTTTATCTATCGTTAAAGTATCATCTTTTCTGCCATCGAATGAAAACGCTAACAAATTGGTATCATCTAACCGTTTGCGAAGCACTTCTTGTCTGCATTTCTCTTTTTCTCTGCGAACTTTCGATTTATCCATGATGAGAGGTTTCCCATGCTTATCCTTAATTTTAAAATCTTGCAAAAGAGCGGTTCCCAATGCTGATGCTACTCTGTCAGGCACACCAAATCTGTCACATACCAAGGCAAAGTTAAAACAATCGTATCTCTCTGTGTATTGTGAACTTGTGCTTCTATCCATATCTTCTTGAACCGGTGGCGGTGCGTATGTTGAATCATCGGGATCTTGGTATGTTGGCATTGATGACATAGACGTTGCTCCTTGCTCTTCAGTTTCCATCACAAATGCATCCATTGTTAGTCTTCTCTGATTATGTTGATCGTGCATGAACTCTTTGAGGCGTTCGGGAACCCAGCCGCATGCACATGGAGCTGCCTTCAAATCGCATTTACATGTTCCAATGTAAAAAATTGTTTCCAGAGATTTTACATACTCTGTAAATTGTTGGGTGTTGTTTCTTCTCTTGATTTGCTCTTGATACTTGTCAAGCAATTTATTCAATTTATTAAATACACTTTTTTCAGCATTATTTCCATACCAAGTTTTTCCCAAATTCCAATCAACTTATCTTGTACTTGAATAGTGAATGATTTATGGGAAAACTTTTTTTGTTCTGTTTTAGCACGTTCGCTTAAGTAAAAATAATATCTCAAGATATCCAGATGGGTTGGTAAATTAAGATCAGTTAAATCAGTAGACACACCAAAAACAGTAACATCATGCTTGGGTATATGACTCATTGGGTTTTCGATAGTTGTTGATGTAGTTGCTTCATCTTGCGCTGTAGAGGATGGTGGATTCATTGTAAACTTTTTGATTTGGAATGGTCACTTCACTTATTATTATTTTTTAAATATTTTTTTATCTGAAATTAGCACTTCACACTTTGAGTTCTTCACAACGACTTTATGCATTCACAAAAACTGTTGCGTTATATATGGTCTACGAGACGAGGTAATAAGAATGAAATGGTAATTTCAATTCTACCTGCTGTGTCTTGTGGTGGCTTAAAAAAAACAACACAAGCAATTTTACGATCTGCAATTGTGTCACAGTGATACCTTCATTGTTTAAAAGGGTTGCGGTGCATTCCAGTGATACCTTAATTGTTAAAATGGTTGCAAAAAACGCGCATTTCTTAAGAAGGTGCCTTAAAATACCCACAAAAAGGGTTGTAAAAACAACCTTCATTTCTTAAGTAGGTGCTATAAAAAAACTACACAAGTAAGTTTACGACATGCAGCTGTGTCTTAAAAAACGCACACAAGCAATTTTCCGATTTGCAATTGTGTCACAGTGATACCTTCATTTTTTAAAACGGTTGAATAAAAAACCCACACAATTATGTTTACGACATGCAAATGCATCACAGTGATGCCTTGGTTTTAAAAGGGTTGTAAAAACGCTAATTTCTAATAATTTTTTTTTATTTCTTTTCTATTACTAAGTTAAATTCATTTTTTCATTTACATATGTTCTGACTAAATAAATTTCTAAAGAGAAAAATAAACTCCAAAAAGAAAAAACATAGCCATTTAGTTGATTTTTTCATGTAAAGGCCAAAAATGGTGATTTTTTGAAATGATTGTATGGGGAACGCCCCAGGGGAGTTCCAGACGGTGTGCCACTGGCATGGGTGGATCGGCCGTCCAAAGTTAGTGGGGGTCGGTCATACATTTGGACTCGATTGGAGCACTCTAAATGGGTCAAAGTGGGATTTTTCAAAATTTGCCCCTACCCAAAAGTTCGACCCAAGCCTGCCCGTATAACACAAAATCCTAAGCTTAATAAACATTTAGTGTTATAAAAGTTTTATAAAGCTCTACTTGTAATTAGGGAAAAAGGCCGAAAAAAAAATTATAAAATTGATTGATTGATTGATAAAAATAGAGAGGGAGTTATCGCTATGACAATAGAAAGCAGAAAAAAGATAC